CAAGGCCTCGTCAGCGCCAGCTCCGGGCCAAGGCGCGCGACAGTGCAGGCACTGGGGCCTTTCAGAACGGAGTCGGATTTGCACGGCACAGCCTACATGCAATTGCACTCCACAGCTACACGGCCACCTCCATGGCACATCGGACGGTGGAGATGTGCAAGTGGGGATCACTCGAAGTTGACACAGTGCGCAGCACGGCTCATCCGGGCGGCATGACACCGACATCGTGTCCAGGACTGTGTTTGGTGTGTGGTCCCGAGCAGTTATCTGCGAAACACTCCCGACTGGGGATTCAAAATCATTGTCAAAGCCTTGCCGCGAGGGTGGTGTCATAAGGACACGCTGAACCCGTTGAGGAGTGCATGTGCGTCGCAAGCGCGGCACTGGAGGCGTACGTGACAATGACCGCGGCATCTTTGATCCCTGTCGTGCAAGGACAATGCGCCGTATTTACTATCCCGCTCGGTAGCGGAGCACGCCCAATCACGATGGCTCACGTACGCACAATTTCGCTGTTCAACTCTCTGAACCCAAAGTGCACAGGTATGTGAAGAGTTTCCCATCTAACTGAATCCATGCGCTTGCTTCTGCTCGTTCCTGTTTACTGTCGAGTCGCTAGGCAAGCTGATTAAGAAGGTAACTCAGGTTTACGCTCTCACATCTCGGACGAGCTTAGGTTTTTGGGTGAAGGTCTGAGATTACAGTGAATTGGGAGTCTCTTTGTGTGAAGGTTTATTTGTTTTGGAAGACGCACATTGACCATCTTGAGCCAAAATGGCTACGGAGCATTGCTGCGTGTGCCTTGAGCGCCTCCTTCCGGCTGCCCAGGGTGCCCACCTTCCTGTACCATTCCCAGCCTGCAGCCGGCACTCGATGCACTTAGAGTGCCTGGCGCAGTATCGCGCGCAGGCCGACGGCCCAGGAGACTTGCTTTGCCCGCTTTGTCGACACGGCAGTTGTCCCGAATGCATCCCCGGGGAGTGGTCCGGAGTGCAGGACGAACAGTTGCGCTCGCTGTGCCGCCGCCACGGCGTGGCCCTGCCGCAGCGCATCTCCGGTGAGTCCACAGTGCGAGAGGCTGTCCGTGATTACGCGCTCCGCACCTTCACCTCCAGTGATGCGCCAGAGCCCCCTCCGCCGCCAGGCGTCGCCGTGCTGTGCTGCCACCGTCTCGCGGCCATGGGACGCGCGGATGGGGTCGACTTCGTATGTACACGCAGGCGCGGGACGACTTTTGATAAAGCACATCAAAGCATATTGCGCTAGGGGTTGGCAACGTGACGATGGTTTTTCGATGTGTCTTCGTCATTCTTCGTCTTTGCATGTCATCGGACAACTTGCTCTCGAGTTTTACTTCGGAATCCCCATGTGCTTGCCGGTGCGAGACGACAGCTATAAGGGGCCCACCCCCTCTCGAGACTCTACAGAATGTGGGACGACTTGATCCGAGTGCTATCGAGGAATCCTCTAAATAGATCCTCTTGGGCGTAGCTGATTAAATGAGCTGGTCCTCAGGAGGCGCCACGACTCTTCGGGGCTCGGCAGGGGCAGCTGCGCTGGTTTGCGCAGATGGCCTGGCAGAAGCGGCTGCCATTAGCTGATTCCGGTGCGCTGGTGCTTGGGGAGCGACAACAAGCTCCATGCAAGGTGGAGAGCTCGATCGGCACGTTGCTCCGCACCACGCGCGGCATGGTGGCGGCTTCCCGAAGCAATGTTCGCCAGTCCCGCTTGGAAATTAGCAATGAATGCGTGCGGGGCCGGTCAAGGAACATGAGTGGCGGACAGTGGCAGCATGCGGTCGGAACACAAGCATGCATCACAGAGACAACCACATCATTCCACAACTTCTCCGTGCCTTCCAAACGTCGTCGCACAATGGCGGTCGGGGACTCGATGTGCGACAAGGCTGGGTGCGTGGCCCTACAGTGAGGAATCGACACGCCGGGTTACTGAAGCGGCTGGTCGCATGAGACAAGCGGACCGGGCAAGCTCCTGCAAACGCTTCCTTTAGTGTCGGAGGGCATCTCGAAGTCAAGGCGCCACACTGCCAGGCGTCAGGGTTGCGCGATCGCTGCAGTGGGAACGCCGGGAAACCGCATTGAAGATGGCACAATCGCGTCACGTCAACAATGCGATCAGGGCACGGGCCCGAAAGCTAAAACAGCGGTGCGTGAGACATGTTCAGACAGACGAAACTCAAACGCCGACATCCCCCAAAACCCGAAATCGAGGACCGAGCTTACGAACATCGGTCGAAGCCCGAGTATCAGCAGCTCGGTTCAGCTCTTTTCTTTGCGGAAGCCACTACATCATCCCGCTGAAGTGGGCCGGAGCGCCATAAACCTACAGGACAAGCTTCGCAATCGCGATGCTCGCAAAGGAGAAGTCTCCTCAGACACGGCCTGACCTGATCCTGCTATTCAGGACCTTAGACCTCCCTTGATGCACTCGCACACGAACATTCGCTGTCTTTGTACATAGGACGCGATGTCGTTGACATCGCAGTCTCGCCCAAAGCCTCAAAGCCAACACCCGGAAATACCCAGAACCATCGTAAACCTGGTAAGCACCTAAATCCTCAGAACTCCTCAATGCCATCGCCCACCCAGCCGAGTGTTGCCCATCCGGCCGCCGCGTGTCTGCGGCCGCCCCGCCTGGAGGCTGCTTTGCCGCAGCTCTTCTAGCGACTTCTCAAGCCGTACCAGCCTGAAGGCACTGGGCACACCCAAAACACGCTCATTTGTTTGATCGTATCGTGACGAGATGCCTATGCCTAAACATCCATCTACCTAGCTATCTATCCATCTTGTCTATCCTGTCTTTTTCCATCTATCGATCGATCTATCTGCCTCTGTACATACATACATGGCATACAGACCGACAGACAGACAGACAGACAGACAGACAGACCGACCGACCGACCGACCGACCGACCGACCGACCGACCGACCCGACCGACAGACCGACAGACAGGCAGGCAGACAGGCAGACAGGCAGACAGGCAGACAGGCAGACAGGCAGACAGGCAGACAGGCAGAAAGACAGACAGATCAGTCAGAAAGATTGGCATGCGTGCTGATCTATTTAGACCGGAACGGCAGGTCTCTATGCACTGCGGAAGTGGACTGAAGGAGAAAAGTAAATCTTAAACCGCAAGGCAAAGCTTTGCACACACCTCTCGGCCATGTCTTCCACCATCTGCGCTTGCTCCGTTTCACCGGAGATGCCGTACTGCTTGCTTGTCGGTGCACACCACCAAAGGTAGCTGCGACTGCAGACTTCTTCGTTAGTCCATGGCCGCTCCAGCAGCAGCCCGTTGAACCTGGCTGCTGGGCATTTGCTTCTGTGGGGCAGATGGACATTTGTGTTGCGCGAGGGGTAAGATCCCTTATACCAGTCTGCGCGGTCCCAAATTGTTCGATCACCACAAGAATTTCTCCCATCACCTTCTCGCCTGGCATTTAGAGTCTCCTTTCTTGTCCCATAATTTAAACGTTCGCACTTCTACTACAGCCCAGCTCTTCCGTTGGGGTTGGGGCTGCCAGGCATTGGACCTTGAAAAACGACATCTCGATGCAGCCTAAAGAAAAGTCATATATGCGCCGAGAAGAAATGACGAGAAAGCATTGGAAGAGAGATGGGGGGGGCTGAGGATCCGGCAGGTAGAAGGCCAAGGAGAGCAGCACTGCGGGAATGATCGCAGGACAGTCTTCGATAAGAATACATAGAACCCATCCTCCAAATGCCAGAAATGCCAAAACGAAGTAGCCCAGCTGCCACCACTTCCTCTTGTGCCCGCAGCACATGGGTAACCGCAGCTGCACCATGCAGTGCACACAAATCGAGGCCCGTTCTTGGAGGAATAGGTTGGTGGCATGCATGTGGGCTTCGGAGTATGCCCTTCCATGTACAGCAATAAACAAATTCAGCAAACTAATGCAGAAGATGATCACAGCAATCATCAAGCTGGCCAGCGTGATGTAGTCCCCATTACCAGCCTCATCTCCCCGGTTCCCAAGCTTCAAGACTTGCACGATGCCATCGCCATCCACCATGAAAAGCAGCTTCACCGTTCCCACCAGAATTTTATAAGGGCCTTAAGGCAGACCCCATGAGGGCACCAGATTCAGTGTGTGTAGGGTAGGGGAGCAAAGTGCAGCCGGGGCGCCTTCCAGGCCGTTGTCCAGGATCATGAAGGCATGCCAGAATCCGGCAAAAACGAAGCCACCTTTTCTCAGGAACTCTAACAGGAAATGGATCATCTGACCCATAGCCTAAGCCTAAACTCCTCAACAGCTCATGCTGAACAACTTGCAGCAGAGATGCAGATGATCCCCATGCCCCCTATCTTCTTGACAGAGTGCAGTATGGGAATAATTCCTTTTACGCCAATCATGCCCAGCTTGAAAGCACGCAGTGCGAAAAGCATCTGGAACCAGCGAACAAAGACCAAGACGGCAAAAAGCTCCTCCTCTGCATCCAAGTTGAACTGGCTAGAGTACAAAGCCTGTCCAACCACGACATTGAAGATCGAGATGACCGCGACATCCACGTAGTTGCCTCCATTGCCAAAATAAGACCCAGGGTTCTGAAGCTGGATGCAGTAGCCGTAGGCTTGGAAGGCTTCTATGTAGGTATCTCGGACAGCGCTTTCAAACATGAAGGTCCAAGAAATGCGGCGCTGCCAGTAAGGGACCTCAGGCTGGAGCCACATAAAGAACTCAGAGTTTTTAGCGGTCTCACTTTCGTTTTGATCCCTGGTTCCAGGCCTGCTTCCCGTTGAAGTCTTGAGACTTGGAGTACGTCCATGCAGAGAGCACAATCAATTCCAGAAGCCGGTGCAGCAGCTGCAGTAAGTACCATTTCAACACGAAGGCATCCCAACAGTATGTCAGGGTTGCAGTGACGGCGGGATTTCTGAAAATCTCGACGTACTTGGTCTCACTGAGCGCCTGCAACACCTCGGGGCAAACAATGCCTTTCAGTCGCAGTTGCCGCATGTGCACGGGCTGCAAGTCGCGCGAGTCCACAAACTTTGGCTGGTTCGTCCGAGGGTTCGGCTGGCGCATCACAAACTTCGAGATGCGATTGGAAGGGGCGTGCGAAATCCGCCGTCCTTTCCGCACGGCACGGGCGCCAGGGGCCAGGCGATCATGCCAGGCGGGCCACGCCTTGGCCCTGTCACCGGTTTCAGTGTCGCATTTCCAGCTGTCGTCCGTGTTGTAGTCCGCCCTGAGCTCCTGCAAAGTTTCACCCCTCTTTTGCCCGACAAACTAAGCATGAGTAAGCCGCATTCTGAACTACGCTACGGGCTCATGCTCGGTCCTTGAGAATGGCCTGGTTGGGCAACGGATGGTAGTAGACGCTGTCCTCGTCGGGCTCTACGGTCAGGATTTCCAGCAGATAGTCCGCCGCATCTGGGGTGTTGTCCAGAAGCGCTATCCAGTGCTCGACCGTCAGGTTTTCCTCTGTCTGCAGCTCATCTGCGACGTTGGTCTTGTGCGCCACTTGGTCTGCCGACTCTGCACCAGCGTAGTCGCACAAAAGATTCCGAATGAACTCCGTGGTGGCACTGGGGCAATGCTCAGACACGATCATGATATCTCCAATGCGAAATCTCGCCAGAAGATGAAGCCGACGCTGAGGAAAGACCCCGGACTCAACGGCCACCTGCAAAATCTGCATTGGAACAGGCCGCCACGATTTTCCAAACGCAAGCTAGTTCAGCTGACCCATGAGTGGTATCTAAGTTTGACGAAGTCTTGGTGTGAAGTTGGCTGTTGATAGGTCTGTGTCACAAGCTCGGCCCAGGAAGCAACTAAAGTCCCTACAACGTAGAATTACCCCAAATTCCCATCAACCATAAAGCCGAAAGCATTGCTGAAGACCTGAACCCAAATTGCCTACACCCTGGTAATATAGTCTTAGGTTATATATGTATATATATATATATATTCTCTTTCTATATATATGATATGATGTATATATATATATGATATATATATATATATATGTATATATATATATATGACATAAATGTATATTATGTATAGTTCTATATGTATTTAGAACATATATATATATATATATAACACTACTTCAGCCTCCAGCGCACTCCGCTGGCTCTCGTCCCTGAGCTCCGTGTCGGCCTCGTGGCGAACTAAGACCTCCGCCACCTCCGAAGCCCCCATCCTCAGCATATTATACATATATATATATTTATTTATTTATTTATTTATATTTATGTATATATTTATACTTATTTATTTATTTGTTTATCTATATTCATATTGAATTTTAAATATGTGTATATATATACCTAAGTTTCAAAAACACCTAAGGAAAACAAATAAATATACGTACATACATACATACATACATACATACATACATACATACATACATACAGACATATATATATATATATATATATATGAGCCATATGGCATTTGGGGTTTCCACAGTCTCGGCTGGTAAGGTTCAAAATTGTCACAGCTAAGTTTGCATGCTTCGTTGACGGCCTCCAGGCGTGTGTCTTCTTTTACTTAATGAGTTCCAAGCTGGGTTCTTTGAAACGGCTTACACGGATGCTGTTATAGTAGGGTTCTATGCAGTCTGCCTACGGACTCATTGGGGTACAGTACAGAGGTCCTGTCTACTCAGGGCTTTCGGTAGGAGGGCGGAAATCGGGTGAACGGGGCGGGAAGGGGGGGTACAGGGGTTGGCTTGTGCGCACCGTTCAGGCCCAAGTCACTTTGCAGCCACGTGGAGTGGAGTCATGCCTCGGGAATCGGTAATGCGGTGACTGGTCTGGCAGGGATCTTAAGGGCCGGGGTGGGTTCGGGGCTTTGAAGTATGCAGGGATAGCTGTAGATGTCTGTAGTATGGGAGGTTGAAGGTGGTGCTTTCTGACCGCGGCACGATCCATGTTCAACGCATTGACGCTGGCAGCCTTCTCCAACAAGTACTGGACCATGTCGACATCGCGAAAGAAGACAGCCTCTCTGGCACAATGCAATGGGAGTCGACGGTCGACAGCAGCCAACAGTCGCGGGGGAGCACACACAGTTTCACAACAAAAAACAAAGAATGCGATGCAAGCAAGTGTCGTCGTGGAGAGGGCAAAAGTGATCGGAACCATCCACCTTGACGCGAGCATTCACGTCCGCGCCAGCATTTATCAGCAGCTGAACGTTCTCCAGGCAGCCCTGCAGAGTCTTCACATGCCGATGGGCTATAAAACACATTTATGACACCCTTCCCCCCGAAGACCCCACACGAAGTGCTTTTGAGAGAGTTTTGGCGCCTGCACGGCCAGGTGAATGGGCTGGGCCCTTCCCTCCTTCTCGAAGGTCATGTAACGGCACTCCACGTTGATGTCGACCCTGAGCTCCAACAGCTGCTCCAGGAGCTCCCCGTCCGATTGCAGCGCGGCGATGTGGATGGCCCCGCCCGTGCACTTCCGCTTCTTGTACTGAAAGGGCACGAGCTAAGACGTCTACAGTCTACAGTGAGTCTACAGTCTACAGGAGCTGGGAAGAACGGCACTGCGGCAGCTCTAGATGCAAGGCGCCGGGTCCTGGAACGTGAAAGGGTAGGAGCCATCCAGGAGCGATCTACAATTTGCAGAATCCATCCCTTCTTCCAGGACGGTGTAGATCTCCTCCAGCTGACCGTCGAAGGCCTGGTTCATGACCGCGGTCTGCGTTCCAAGCCCGGACTTGTGAGTCTTGGTTGAGAAACCTGCCAGCTTGGCAGGCGACAAGGCGTCAGCTCCAATGCTGGTCAACGGCACAGTTCCTTGCGGGACCACCGAATTCGGCAAAGCCCCTTCCATGCCGTCCGTCAGCGGCATGGTTCCCTGTGGAACCACGGAGTTCGGCAACACCTCATCCATGCGCCCTATTTCGGCACAGGCTCATAGCTCAGCCGAGGTCTTTGAATTTTTCAGTCTTGCAACAGGATGCGGGGGCCTCTCCTAACGGAACCTCACCATGTAGTTACCGCATCATAGCTTACCCCAGCGGCTCAACAAGCTGTCAGAGCCGACCCGATCATCGCATTGCTCAACAGACTAAACATGATGAGTACTCTCCTAGCTCGGACGCTCCCCCCAAACACCCACTGCAAGCCCCTGGCCGCACAAGCTTTTCTCTACTCCTCCAAAGCTTTCTCGCTGGCGGCGCGCCGCGCCCTCCGCTCGTCTTGCAGGAGGCGCACCTCCTCCCGCTCCTTCCTGGCGGGTGCAGGGAGGCCCTTCTGGAGCTTCTGCAGGACTTGGAGGGGGCTGGTGGAATGGTTGCGAACAGACTTCAAAGCAGACGGAGGTGGGACGTGGGACGATCACCTCTGCAGACGGAACCAGATCTTGCAAGCGAGGCAGGAGGGACTCCGCCACGTCGGACTGCTTCTGACTGCGCAGGAAGCAGAGGGTGCCATCACATGCGAGACTCGTGCAACTCTATGCAACTCTCAATGAATGTTTCTTGGCAGCACCGCATTCACACAGCACCCTGGTCACAGCCTGATCAGAAACTGCAAGAACACGACGGCCAGGATCAGCGTCGGGATCATCGGGCTCTCTGCGCGGAACCACGTGATGGACTCACACATCGAACCCTACTGCATGCTGCTTCCAGATCATCTCAGATCCGTTCACGGAAGTCCCAGTGCTGCTCCGGGACCTCAGCACCGCGGCTAAAACACTGATTTCCACCGCCTTCTGCAAAGCAGTGCGCGAAGGAAGAACAGTAGGCTTTGTCTCGACTCGGCTTATGATCTGCAAGCATCGGTTGGAACGGCCTGTTTTCCTGGCCAAGACGGTGGCAGCACTTGCCTGCTCCCTCCTCTTCCCCAGACTTTCAAGGGGACGAGTGAGGCAAAAGCCTGTTCTCGCTCTCGTTCTCTCACTGGGCGTCGAGCCATCATGCTCCAGAGTTCCTGGGCTTTCTTTGCCTGGAAGCACCAACGAGCTGCAACGAACGTCCCGGACAGGCCATCGTGGAAAGCTGAGCTTGCCGCCCTCTCACCAACAGACGGTCCAGCAGACTTTGCACTGTTGCTGAAGGATTGCCTGCAGCGAGGAGTAGTGATTCTGCGAGGGAGAACACTCTTGTTGGGTGTGGTATTGGGTTGAACTGTTGGACCAGTGTAGCTTTGGTTAAGGTCTTTTGCTGAGGCTAGCTGCCTTCCAGGCCGTCCCTGCGGCGCATTGTAGCTTTTCTGTTTCGAAAGACTTGCTAGTGTCACGCGGCAATGAACACTCTGGCGATTGACGTCAAAAACAAGTCCAGTGAGCGGCAAGCTTGACAAATGTCCGTCCCCGATGCTCTGGCTTTGGTGCGATGCGGCGATGCACTCTTATGTGCAGGCTCCTCGCAGAACGGAGCTCCATAAAATTAACCCCTGTCCCTGTCCCTGCAAGGCTTCTGTCGAGAACGTAATAAGCCCCTGAACCCTACTTACCCTGCAATCGCCTCTCCGCCTGCAGTGCCCGAAAAAGGAGTCGCCCATTGCTCCAAGCCTCATTGCAAAAGAAGTTCGCACAAATGCCGTGAACTCACAAGGAATGCCCAGAGCCATCCACATCTCCATCAACACATGCTCATGCAGCTCGAGACTGCGGTCCCTCGGGCAACTACGGCCAAGGGCGCCCTCAGCCCACGAGAGAATGCCATGGGACAGAGGCGTTGCAACGCTTGACTTTCTAGGGCTGTTTATCATGTTCGTGTCAAGAGTTGAAGAGAATTCCCTCGAGAGATGGCCAAAATGTGTCTTGATGTCACCTGCCAGCCGCCCGCTAGCAAGTCAGCAGACAGCAGACATTGCAAGTTGAGGTCCACCCGAAAGAAACGCTCCGAAGCGAACGACGATGTCTGCAATATACTGTTGGCTTCGAATCCCCGTGTTGATTCGCTGGTGCATTGGCCTAACGTGATCCGAGCTCTGAGAGCCAACGTTCAAAGTAGGAAGTCATACAGTACTCACGCGCACCTCCTTGTGAAGTCTTCATGTTTCTGCGAACTTCGCGGCCCTGTTTCTTTCTGTTCCGCGCGCTTCACCACATTAGGGTGAGTTCAAGGCCAAGGCGCCGGGGTGCGCCGAGCTGTATCCCGCCTCGTCGAGCTCTCAATGACACCGTGCATGGAGATGTCACGCCAAAATACATCTACTGCGAAGAATCGTCTTGGAATGGATACGTGCAGTTGTCTACGACGCAGAAAACACAAGAAAGGAACGCACCGATGTTGCACCTCACAGAAGCCTCCGTGCGGTCGTGCTGCCTCGCTGTGCGTTGGTGTCTAGGGTTCCAAGACGGTTAAGGACAGCGAGCCGTGTCACAATGAGTCGTTAGGCAGTGACAGCTCGTGCCCAAAAAGCGCATGAAGAGCTTGCAATGATCACCAGAAGCGTCAACAAGGCGGATGGCCATTGCTGCAACCAGCCTGCAAGGCTCGGTGTCACTTCTTGCATTTTGCCATGGGGTGCACATTGCAGCGGTGAAACTTTGCGCGCCTTGCGCGACCCCAATCTGTACTTCCTATTCACGAAGCTGACCGGCAAGCGCAGCAGCGTACACACCTTTACACGAGGCTGCCGAGCTTTACAAATGGCTGGGACACCGCCAACTCAGAGCCAAAGTGATCCTTTGCTTGCCGCGGAGCCGATCTTCTCGTGTACTTCTACCGGTGGGCTCAGAGAGCTGGGTCCTCAGAGCCGCGGTCTATTCGCCATCTCATGTCAGCTTGCGCAGCCCTGTCCACGAGATGGCGAAGCAAAGTCCCAAAGAGGCCGTCATGATGTAAAACGAGAGGTACCGTCCAAACGGCCCAACCACTTCTGCTGCCTCCAGGAGCTGGGAAGCAAAGAACGGGGCGATCGCACGGCTCAGTGCGCGCCCGGAGTTCGCCCAGCCGTTGACCGTCGCACGATTCAGACCTTCTGATGCACGGTTCACGAAAACAAAGACAGAAGAGAATAGCAGAAACGTCCCGATCATGCCCACAAACTCGGCGAGGCCCAAGACGACGAATCTCCACAGGCCATGCTTCACCGGATCGGCAACGAGAGCATAGACAGGATAAAGACCGTAAGACAGGCTGTTGAGCACAAACCCCAACACAAGGATGTTCAACAAACCCAACTTCTTAGCTAGTTTCTGGAAGAATGTCAGGTGACAGAGGATCGGACCAAGACCGCCTGAGATTTGGACAATCGAGACCTGCTGCGGGCTAAACCCAAAGCCTCCCGAAGACACAGGGTACTGCCAGAGCAGAATGACCAAGGTGTTCTGTGCCTCTACGGCGCCCGTTACTCCGCAGAATGCCAGGATCGCTTGGAGCACATGCAGTGGATAGCAGCGCTTGCCGTCAGCCGTGCATGGCGTGTCTGCCAGCTCCGCGTCACCAGCAGCCTCGTGCTTCTGCCCACACATGCTTCGCTTGCCCTCGGGCAGCGTCTCCTCTAGGCAGACGAAGCCGATGATGCAAACAATCGCTGTGAGGATTCCAAACAAAAGGTTCGGGAAAAGGACGGGATAGTGCTCGAAGACTGTGCCGGCAAATACTTCAGGTGCCCACTGTGCAGGGAATGCCAAGCCACCTAGGAACGGCCCTGCAATGAGGCCCAGCACAAAGCAGAGCACCAGAAACCCGAAGGCACGTGACTCGTTGGTCTTGTTGGCAATCTCGCCAAGGTAGGTTCGCAAGATCGCTTGGTTGCCGCAGAAGAAGCCATCAAGGCCGCGGAACAGCAAGACCGCTGTCAAAGACTGCCCCACGCCGAGGAGAACAGGCGCAATCGCGGTCCCGGCCATGCCGATGAGGAGGATAGGCCTCCTGCCGACAACGTCGGCCGCCATGCCCCAAAATGGCGAGAGAACGATCTCGAAGAGCGAGTAAAGCCCAACGAGCCATGCATAGGCTGTGGCCGATTCAGGACTGTCTTTTGCCTTGTTGAGAAACATCGACACCATTTCGAGTCCATAGGGCATGATCATGTTCACGTCCATGCTGTCAATGAGCCTCATGGCCCCGATCACGTAGAGCCTCCGATTGAACATTCGCTTTGCAGCAGCTTCCTGGGCCTCTGAGCTCGCGGACATGGCCTCTTCCGCCTACTTCTGGGCCAAGCCTGGCAACTTAAGTCCTTGAGCCAGATCTCTCAGCCCATCAAGACTCCGGGATGCTACTACAAGAGGTATCTGACGATTTTATCCAGACACGCCCCCCAGAACTGCAAGCCATCGAACTGCTGCGCATGGCATGACGCCCCCTTTTTTGGCGGAGCGGCGGCTTCTCGCTTCTTCGGCTCGAGGAGAGCGAGAGCTCCGCGCTCCCCCGAGGCGCGCGCAAAAACAACATCACCCAAATGCTTTCGAAGCTTCAAAAGAGCGCTACGATCTCGAATAGGCCAGAAACCTCAAACTCTGCTCTATGGGTGATGATGCTTGGCAGCCTCATGTGCGGAATTCGACAAGGAATGCATGGATCGCGACCTGTGCGGCGTATCTTTGGCATTTAGGCTCGGCGAAACTCAGCCTTAGCGGCCTTAGCGTGCGTGTTGCGCGCGAACCCTCGTCGCATGCACCCGTGTGTGCACTGTAAATCGGGTTGTGGGCAGTAAGCCCGTTTGCAGCTGGTGCGGTTGCTTAACTGTACACCAAAGATCAAGCCGAAACTTAACCTTGCCGTGTTGCAGCAAGAACCATCGTCGCATGCCTCCGCGCGCGCTGTAAAATTCCAAATGCTGGGCGACTACAGTAGCCCATTTGCAGCTCGCGCAGCTGCTGCGCTGTACAGCGAAAGAGCATGCTCATGATTTTCACGCATGCTGGCAATCACAAAACTCCGGTACGACGATCCGGCTTCACACTTGACAAGCGTCGTATCGTCCCGAGGGACAGAAATCAAAGCACACAAGCACAGCAAATTGCGCCACATCACCATTGGAAAGCTTGGGTCACCCGCGCCTGAGCGCGCCAGAGAAGACGGCAATCCGACCCGTCGTTGACAAAGGGCATGGCCTTGTGAAGGGTTTGCAAGTTGTCCCAGATGATCACATCGCCTGGCCTGTACTGATGAAAGTACATCCACTGGGGAGACAGCACGTGCTTGAACAGTGACTGGGTCGTCTCCACATCTGGCTGATGCTCCTGATCCTCGAAGACTGACAGCTCCGAACCCATCAGAAGCAGCTCCCGTCCGTCACGAGGGTGTCGGTGAAGCACGGGCGTACGCTGGTCCGGATACCTTTCTGCATCTTCAGCGGTGAAGTCTCTCTTCATGTACTCGGCATTCCGCCGAGCCGACGTGAAGCAACTTAGGCCTTGAGCCTTCACACGCAATGAGGGTGGCAGCTGGGTGGCAGCGGCGACCAGGTCCACGAAGCCGGTGCCGCCTCCTTTCTTCGGAACCTTGTCCGCGCACAGGACGGTGAGGATGTGTCGCTCCGACATCCGCATGTAGTCACCGTCTTGGTGCCACACCTCGGCCCCCTGATACCTTGCACCCTTCCAGGTGCCATCGGCACGGAAGTTAGACAGCCGAACAATCCTCGGGTGAACCTCGAAATAATCCGGAGCCTGGCCTACGACAGTAGCGGTGACCTCCCCCAAGCGCGAAGTGAACGCCTCCTGCTCCTCGAGGCTCCAGCATTGGTTTGGGATCACGATCATCCCATGTTCGCGGACTGCTTGGACCAAATCTGCGAGCTGATCATCGTTGATGTCACGGAGGCTCGCAAGCTTCCAGGTCTTTCCCATGCGCCCGGGCGAGGCCTCGGTGCTCTTGCAAGGTGCCGACGGTGCTTGAGCTGTGGACATGGCTTTCCGGAAGAGCGTATCCCAGATCGACGTGATAGCCCCAAGGTTCCTTGCGCCATTCGAGTGGTGGTCCTGGTGGTGCTTGGGAGTTATGATGAACCTCAACGCTGGCACCCGCTCAATCCAATCAAAGGGTGGCGGATTGTAGCCAGAATGAACCATGACACCGTACCAAGTCGCGAACATGAAGTAAGCAAGGGCGACGTTGGGGCTCAGCTCAAAACAGCTGGACACCAACACAACGCTGCCGTGCTTGACCACAGCGTTGCCCAGCGCCTCAACCGGATGCTCCACTTCGTTCGTCCATGGCTGTGTATTTTGAACGGAGTGGTGCATCTTGTGGTACTTGTACATGCATGGCAGGTGCAAAATGAGGTGCCACAACGACAGACCAAAGTCCAGCAAACAGAGCATCAGCAGGAATCCGACCACTGAACGCAGAAGGCTGCCCTGGCAGTTGAAGGACAGATTGCTGCCGAACCAAACACCTGTGAAAATGCACACGTCCAGCCAGGAGCCCGCGAACTTTGACTTGATCTGCTGCAGGGCATACTCGTATGTCCTTGCATGCTGCTGCTTGGGATCCGGTGTGATCCTCCAGCGCTCCAGCTCTCCCCCCAACACTTCGAAGCCCACGTTGGTTGCAAGCCAAGTAATGTCTGAAGCACACATGCCACAAAGTGCAAATGTCAGGAATGGCGGTACCCTTGCGACCTCGAAGCCCGTCTGAATCATGTTGAGCATGACACAAGTCAGGCCGAGTGTCCCGGCCCACCACCACAGACACATGGGCGTGCTCAGGGCAAGCATGGCTGTTGCACGAGAGAAGCTTCAACCCCACGACTCTCGCAAGACTAAGCATGCGCTCAAGCCGCACTGTGCTGCAGGATCATGGCTGTGGCATGTGGCACGGCGAGGTGCTGGAGGAGCACTCAGACTGCTGGGCTCCGGGCTCAGGAAACTCTGGCGAGTACCCACCGCCTCGGGACATTTTTTCATCCGGAAATATGTAAACCAGCGAATAGACCACAACTTCCCAAGGATCCCACTTTCTCGCAAAACATTCAGCTAGCACTTTTTTTCCGTGACCGGTTGCCACCCTGCCGGGATCGCTCCGGTGCTCCGGCCCCCTCCCTGAAGCGAGGAAGCCAAGCGAGCTGGATCTGAGGCATCTTCTCCCTGGGGCCGCGCTGTCCTCCTGGGTCGCACCGAGAAGACCTCAGAGGGCTCACATGTTGATATGGGGATTTTCAAAAATAGGGGACCCTCATATAATACCCTAAATAATAGGATCCTTATTCTAAGGACCCCAGAATAAGGTACCCTAATTTTCGGAAACTCCCATATACACCTGTGCCATCCCCTCGAAAAACGGCTCGAGAATTCCAAGACTACAGGGCAAACATCTTCAAGGAACCAAATGGCCTGGCGGAGGACATGTCCGAGAACACAACCGGCCGAATCGGGGCATCCTGCATCATGCGCAGGAGGAGCACGTAGAACATCTAGTAGGACTCATAATCGTCACTGTCGAAGAAGGTCGGCGCAGAGGAAAAATAGTAGGTTTGCTGACTGCCGTTCCGGCTTCGCACCATTTTATGTGGAACCGCTTCCTCGCCACCTTTGCTGGCACCGTTTGGCCTCCGCGATGCAAGGAGTGGGTTCAGGTAGAAGGAAGTTGTGTCGGCACTCCTGTCCGGGAGCTCCTTGCGGATCATGCTACGATCGACACCGTCTGCTCGTGGCGCATTGGGCATCGGGGCATAAGGGATCGGGTTGCCCTTCCTGGACGGCGGCGGTGGTGGCCTTGGGATGGGCACAGAGTCCTTGCTGAGCACCCGCCCTCTGTCAAAGGACACGCGCAGAACCCCCGGGAAGCGGAACTGAAATTGCAGCGTACAGCCCAAACAGGAGACGCAAGGTACATCCGAGAGGTGAAGGTTCAAGGTGAGGCCTGTAGGCACGCGCCCACTTCGGAGAACACTGGTGTCCAGGGCTGCACACAAGGCCTGCACCTCCGCATCCCCTTCGCGAGTGTGGCGGAGCCGACAAACGTAGAGGCCGTGGCCTGCCGGAGCCCCGGCCACCGGCTCGCCACTTTCGAAGAGCCCGTCGGCCAAGGTGTCCACTTTCTCTTTGCCTAAGCCGAGCTGCCAGGCACACTGGGCCCGGTGGAAGATGGAACGACTCACCGGATCCTTGGCGGCCTCCTCCGCACGAAAGTCCAGGATCCGTTGCCGGGCATCCGGGATGAAAGGATCGCTGCTGGGACATAGGAGACCAAAGTGCTTTAGGAACTGTAGGGTCCAATATTCACCGAGGGTAACGATGTCGCTTTGCTCCACGTTGCGCTGGTATGTCGACACCTGCTCTGCCGAAGGCCGGCCATTTGCTGCCAACCGGGCGAAGGACTCCAGTCGATGCAATGTCTCCTCGTAGCAGCAAGTGAGGCGTCTCTCGATGCTCGTCGCCTTGGGTAGCACCTGGAAAAACCTCAGGGCATCGTGCACATCGAAGAGAGACTGCGGCGGGAACTCCTCCACCCGGCGCAGGGTCTCCTCCACAAAGGCACAGCTCCTACTGGGGTCCCAGAATCCTACAGAACGATACAGAACGGGGCCCCGGCCTCCAACAACGCCTGGAGGAAGCCCGCTGCCTCGCCCTTGAAGACGAAGCGCGCGAAGGCGAAGGCGAGCTGTGCCAAGTGGAGCGTTTGGCAGTCCCGGATCTTGCGAACGGCAGCGGCGGAAGCCGCCGTAAGCCAGCGGGAGCAGCGGAAGCCGACCATGGCCGCAGCCCAGCTGCTGTTGGCCAGATTCTGCGTATCATGATCCTGGATGCGCTCGATGGAGGCATCCAGCAGGCGTCGGAACAGCGGATCGTCCTTGAGAGCGAGGGTTGCATAGGCCCACATCATGTTCGAGAGACTCTGCGGATCCCAGTTGTTCACCTCGGGCCCTCGTCTGTCCACCTCCTCTGCGATGGCCCGCAGCATCAGGTTGTCACACAGGTCCATGGTGGCCAGCGCCCAGGAGAAATTGGAAAGCTCCTGCGGAATGAAATCCTGGATTTTCTTCGATGCCTCCCGTCCGACAGCGAGCACCATATTGTCATTCCGGAAGCCGAGTGTGCTCAGCCCCCACACAAAGTTCGACATGTTTTGAGGCGAGAAGTCGCCGAACTCACAGCGTGCACGGACCACGGCACGGAGCCACTCAGGCTCACGGCGCTTCATGGTTGCGAAGGCCCACGTGCAGATTGAGATGTCCAGCGGACAGAAGCGCTGAATGTCTTCAATGGCCCGCGATGTTAGTGCCCGGAGCATCAGTGGCTCTTGCAACTGCATTCGCGCACAAGCCCAAAGTGTATTGGACACATGTTGTGGCTCGAACTCATGGATCCGCCGCTGTGTTTGAACAGAAACCATCTCAACCCAGGCGCCTCCACCACGGTAGCAGACTACCCCGAGCCCGTGCAAGGAGTTGGCGATCTGCCTGATGCAATCAGTCTTCAACTATGGCCTATCGCGACTTCGGACCCGCACACTATCTCCAACGTACATATTGGTGACATGCATGCATCTGTACACACCATTGTACATGTATCCATCTATCGACCCTTCCATCTATCCATGTATCTATCCATCTATCCATGCATCTATCCATCCATCTATCCATGTATCCATCTATCCATCTATCCATCCATCTATCTATCCATCTATCCGTCTATCCAGAAATCTATCCATCTATCCGTCTATCCATCCATCCATCCACCGATCTGTCTATCTCTCTCCTCTTCTTCTGCACAGACAAAAAACTCTGTCTGTCTGTCTGTCTGTCTGTCTATCTATCTGTCTATCTGTCTATCCATCTATGTGTATGTATGTCAATGTGTCCATGCATGCATAATGTGTACATTTGTATGCATGCGTGTACACAGAAGCGTTCAGAGGTATCTGATAGACCAACTTGTCACCGAGTGCGGTGTTTTCGCACATAGATAAACATGGACACCTGCATACGGCATACGTAGACGTAGATGCACACATATGCAACGACCTACCGACACACCCAAAGATGCTGGTTGGCAGCGCCAATAGCGCACTTACAGTGCTGAGTAGCATTATATTGCTGGAGACCAGCATGAAATGCACGAAATAGCGCCACGACCCACCGATCTAGCGACCACCCACTTATCTACCTACCTCGGCGGGCGGACTGTCATGACTCCGTGCCGCTTTGAGTTCTTGACGAGTTGCCGTGAGCCGAAGAAGGGCAGCCGTGATCTGAAGCGCTCCAACAATAAGAGGAAGCGGGGATCCTTGAAGACCTCTGCAGTCACCGGAACCTTTCCCAGTCTATGCAGCGCCGTGGAGATGACGATGGCACCTTCGAGCTCCCGCACCGTTGCCAGAATGCTTTCCACACTCTCGGCACCGACGATGAGCTCCTGCAGCTCCTTCTGACGGTTTCTGGCATCCTCCCCTTCATCCTTTCCGCCAGATGCGGGCAAGGCCCGTGCACGTGCCGCACTGGAGCGGCGGGGCTCGCAGAAACGCGGCGGGCCACCGAGCCACTCGCACATGGCTTACTTGTCCCATGTTGCAACGACTATGCTGGCTAAACACCTCTGGCTTCGGGGTGGCTTCGGGGTCTGGCATTTGCTGCTTAAAGAGCTTTTGAGACTCATGGAAACGATTCGCCGGTTCTCAGCAGGGCTGCAGCTTTTCTGCTATGCTCAGGCATGTCCATGCTACGTCTCGAGGCTCAGAGGCATAAACCGGGACTCTCCACTCAAGCATTGGCTATACGACCGTCCAACTCGGCGCTAACTGACAAGCAGATTTCACAGCGAGATTGACGCGACAAGGTGTGGAAAGTCTGGACAAGACTATTCATGCTGCACTGATGCGATCACAAGTCATAGGTGCACATAGTCATGCCTTGCTCAACGAAGCTCTGTTGACACGTAGCTCAGCGCTGGGCAGGCGACGGCGAGTACAGGCTCATGGTCAAACCCAAGGCCGGCTCTTCGATGTCAAGCTGCGGTTGCTACTCACTTTCTGTTGTTGGGATCAGGGGTTGAGGGTCTTGTGCTGAAACTTTTTCCGTCTGCTCCAAATGACTTGGATATGAAATAAGCTTGAAAGTACGAGATTCGCTTCTCCTTTCAGTTCGCGACTGACACAGCAACAGCTCAAGCCAAAGCAAGCAGTGCTCGTCGCCAAAAACACGCAGTTTTCATGCTACATGTTGACACACTTCGCCATCACAGCCACCGATGCTTCTAGGCCATGTTGCTGTTTCCTTTTTGTGGCGCGGCCTCAGACTGCACAGTTCGATGGGCTGCAGCATTCAGTGTCAGCAAAGCATCCGAAAATGGTCTCTGCGCACTGATGCGAAGAGTTTGCTGCAGCATGACGCAGGCATCGAGGCAGCACAATTTACAGATGTCCTGCGTAGTCACGTGTGGATGAGCTTTTATTATACTTCGGCAGCAAGCCATTTACCGCTTGTCCCCTCTGCACCTTCCTGCTGTCAGGCAGCCCCACAGCTCGTGGTGGGCTCGTGGTGGCAGGAGGAGAGCTTCTGCCATCTTGTGCCGCAAGTTTTCAGCGCAGGCGTCGCAAAAGGCAGACGAGTCAAGGCACCATGCTTCGCGGAGGCGGAGTCTGCATGATGCGGCTCCGGATGCCGAACAGGCAAACAGACGACCCTCTGCGCGTCACAGGGTCACGGGAGACTGGCTGCAAATCTCGACTTCGCGACGGCCGAGGGGTGGCTCGGCCCGTTCTGAAACGAAGTGCTAAGGCTGCCAAGGCTGAGGTCTCAGTGTGCAACGCCTCGGAGTCAGAGATCGCCGTGTGCACAACTGGGGCTAAGGTTCGTCATGATGGAAGGCCGTTCCAAAGGTGCAGGGCGCAGCGCGCGGCCACCGGCCACTGACAGGAGCTTCGTCCAAAACTTCAGCTCAAAGAGCCACAGGCTGCCAAGCGAGTGTGGGGGAGGGAGAGGCCTTTGCCGCGAGGCCGAGGGACGCTCCCCTGGCTCCGCTGCAAGCTTTCAGGTCTGCCCTAGCAGCTTTAGCACCTAAGGACTGTGGGATGGGTCCAACGGGTCGTCGGATGCTGGGTCTGTTGAGGGCTCTGCGTGCTAGCCGTCCAGGCCGTCCAGGCCATGAACCGGAACCGAGACGCTTGAAACGCTTGAAAGTGCGCTGCCAGAGCAAGGCGGCAGGATGCGGCAGGCAAGGCGGCAGTGGCGGCAGGCAGCAGGGCGGGGCCCGGCTTTGGGAGGCGCCGGTGGCCAAGGCTCCGCTGGCCAAGGCTCCGGCTCTGCGCTGGTCGGGTGAGCGCTCGGGTGCCCCGAAGCTTCCTGGCTGAGGTCACTCTCTCCGTCAAAGCAGGTTCCGTTTCCGCCCAGTCCCAGTTCGGGTGAAGAGGCGAGGTGGGTCCCCTCGTGGGCGCAGGAGCTCAGCATGTTTTGGAGAAATTGATTCAGATCTTACCCAGAAGTCGCGCTCCGGGACTGCTGTGCTTGATGTTGATGGACTTCGCGACCTGCTGCGTAAACGACGACAGATCGAATCACCCACCTCGGGGCATTGCACTGCCAGCGAGCCGATCTTACCTATGGGGCGAGCATGAAGAGCCTTCTTGGGTTCTGGGCACCTTCGGTGCAGGCTTCCGATGGCAGACGTTCCGACTCTTCCGGCCTGTCGTAAATGCGCTCTGGGAAACGCCGCTGCGAAAAAAGCAAGTCAGCTGGCACTGTCCAGCCCACAGCATCCCACAACCCACCCCTGTCACGAACACTTTGCAACGGTATTTGGGGGAATACCTACGTGCAGCTGCCGCCGCTGCCACTGCCTGCACTGGATGATAAGACCAAAAAGGCGCTGCACTTGACGACAGAGTACTATGGCCATCGATTCTTGTGGTGTGTTCCTGCAAGGCCGTGGCGCGCGAAAGAAGCTGTAGGCCACAAGTGTGCTTCCAAAGGATCTCAGCTGTCAGCGCCTGCGCTTGAGTTTAACGGACAAGCGCCTGTAGCTGCGAACTTTGAAAACCCTTGCTGAGCAACAATGCACTGGAAGCGCTTCACAGCAAGACTACACAGCAGCGGAGGTGTCAACACCTCCACACAACAGGATCGGAGCATATCGGAGTCCTTGTAGTATAGCTTAAGACTGCTGAAAACAGGTACTAGTAGGAAGAATGGTGCTTTTCGAGGAATATGCGACGGCGGCATCAATGTATGTCGCAACCCCACCTCGGTTTACATTACCCCGCGCCTCCCATTTGGCCCAGCTCCAACGGCGACAAAAAGCACAGATCATTTCGTGAAGGCCGAAGCTGTTTCTAGTTGCGTAGGGCATGCTTAGATCCATGTCTCGTCACAGATTGCACAGTTAGGCTCTGAGCGGGGAAGATGCGGGTGCCGTCTGAGCTGTCTTCCTCCGCATTCGTATGCGAACATGTCGACATTGCCAACCTAGTCCGAAGGATCCGTGTTACACTAATTTTTCCTAAGTGATCCCCGAGGCAGAAATGTAAAAAGGCGTGGGGGCCCTCCGATTTTGGGTTAGGCATGGGAGCTACAGCTACTGGTGGTCTGTTTGACTATGAGTGCAATGAGGGGCTGTGGAACCACTTTCAAACTCTCAGGAACTATTTGCGAAATCTCCGGAACCATTGTCAGCAACACCGCCAAACAGGTAGGAACCGTTCCAAACCGT